GGGCGCTCTTCATCGTTGCACACGATGGTGCTGTCCATCGTAGTGTAGCGCCAATGGGGAGAGAGAGAGAGGATTTCAGCGAAATTTTAATTTGGGGGTTGGTATATTAATTAAATTTTATCATATTATTATTTAATATTAAAAAGTTAAATTATCACCTGATTTTTGCATAAACAAACCTTAAAACATGATTTTTGAAGTTGAAACTTAAAAAAGATGTCTCCACGTAATTTTCTCAAGTTGTTATATAGATACTAGAAAAACTGCATCTTTCTGTATATTTATTCATTTTGTATTAGTAATTTAGTGAGTCCAAAATTAATCAAAGAATTGTGAATAATTCATTTTCAAAAACAATTATCTTCAAAGCTGAAACATTAAACATCAATATAATTAAAATTTCAGTTATTAATAAAATATAGTCAATAAAAAAATCATGAAATTGAAAAACACGCCCAAAAATATTTATTGTTAATATAGACCACAAATTGAAGCCGCGAAAATCATGAAAAAAAAACTGAAATATCTGTGCGATGCACACAAAAATCGTATATTAGAGAGATAAGAACCTGAGAAAGTTGATTGGGTGCGAAAGAGGCAGAGAGCGCCATGCTTCATTTCCCCATCACATCAAATTTCAACCGGATCTTCACACGAATTTAGTATGTATTTCTATGGTGGTGAAGAGTATGTATATATACGCGTGTGTATAGAGCGAGATAGAGAGGCTTGAAGGGCCGGTAAGGGATTGAAATGGAGGGAAACAAAGTAGAGAGAGAATGAGGCGCACTGAAACAAGGCAAATGAAGTACAGTAGATCCACTACTATACTCTCCAATTTCCAAATACAGGTAATTTAGGCCCACCACCCTCCAAAAATGACAAATTGAAAAACAACCCCTAAATAATGCACTCAATACCCCAAACCAAAACCTTAGAAAGCCTCAAACCAGAAGCCATAAATCAGGCCAAAACTCCTATCACCAAATCTCCGTTTTGCTTTTTCGACGCATTCTTCTTCTCTCCATTGCTATCTCTATTGTCTCTGTTTGTGTTTCTTGATTTTGGACCAGTTTGTGTTGATTTGTTTTCAAATTTGTGGCCCATTTAGTTGCATCGAAGGGGAAGATAGAGTGCAAGTTGTTGAATTTGATTAGTGGGGACATTTGAATTTTTTTCTGCACCTCAGGTGGTGTATATATGGATCGGTGGAGCTATTTTTGTTTGGAGTTGGATTCATCAATGTTGTTGCCACACCATTCTTGTAAGATTTATTTCCGATTTGTTTTTCAATATTTAGATTTTATCTCTACATTGTGGATTCCTAGTTTATTCATCACCTAAAGGATAAAAGCTGCACACTGATTTTGTGTTTTACTTTGCTTTCACTTCCATTTGATAAGAAAATAATATCAATTTATGATGATAACTAAGTTCGTTATATGTGGAAATACAGTGTGTTAGCTTTCCTTTATGTTGGTTGTTCCATCGAGAAACACAAATATGGGTTGCTATGCCAATGACTGCCGACACATGATTGCATTACTAATCTCCATCATCATGATTTGTGATGCATTATGTTGAGCAATAGAAGTAAATAGCAACCACTAAAATATTGACGATCACTTAGGATGTGCATGCCTTCGTTTTTAGTTCAATTGTACTATTTCTTGATAGGGTACTCGTATCAATTCTATGTATTGTGCTCAGTGGCGGATCCAAGTGGTGGCCAACTAGAGCAGCCGCCCTAGCTGGATCCGTTGGGAATTTTTTTTATTTTTTTTTTTAACCATAGATTATTTTTTACCTTATATTTCTGATAATTGGTTTTATCTTCAAAAATTCCTTGTAGCTCAGTTGGTGAGAACTGACGTGAACAAACTTGATGTCTTGGGTTCAAATCCTTTGTCAATGGTTTGTTATGTATTATTTTTATTCTATAATTTTTACCAAAATGCAATAGGAAGAGATAATGAAGATTCAAACTTGTGATCTCAAGTAAGAATTGTTTTTACCTTAACCATTATGGTACCTTTGAATTGTGACATGAAATTTAACAAAATAATATTTGTTAAGTTTTGACTGGTTTATTGCAAAAAATTTTAAAGATTCAAATTTGCACTATTCCTTTGAATTATACAAATCTTGGCAACAATGTCATTTAATTAGTTCTGTTTATTCTTATAACAAAATTATATATGTTCAGTTTAAACAAAATGATTATTATATTTATATTTTAGACCTTGTTCGATTCCCATTTTTTTTTCAAAATATATATATATATATATTTTTTTTCATCCATACATTATTCAATAAAATAATATTACACGCAAATTCAAAACTTTTCTTTATTTTTAGTCACACGTTTTCCATCAAATCATTATTCCAAAATGCATTTTTTGCAAAAAAAAAAAAAGTATCAAAAGGACTCTTAATATTTTATTGCGGCCGACAGTAGATGGTCAACGGCCGTCCATGCTGACTCAAGTTCCTGGATTCACCCCTGGTTCTGCTTCTTTATTTTGAATTTCATTTGAGGCAAGATTCGCTCAATGATCCGTTTGAGGGTTTGGTATTGCATTTGTTCAACTGTTTGAGCCTCTGAGGATTTGTCCACTGTGGTATTTTTGACGGCTTGAGGAGAACAAGTCTTTCAGAGTTGTTTTCAATAAGAGGAGACAACGATTGGCGAACTTGACTTGGATGAAGAATGAAACTTCTGGTTATGATAGTCGACCTTTTTCTGTGTCCTCTATCATCATAAACTTTAGTCTTATGTTATATTAATATGAATGTGAGCAAACTTGCAATATAACGATGGTAGGGACGGGCAAGTAATTTCTTGTAAGACCATGGACATTGTATGTCATTCTTAACTTTGTACAATATTTTTTAATTTCAAAATTTTTTATATTATTAATGGGTTGACTGAGCTGGTAGATAATGATGGCAGTAAATTAACTTAAAAATGCTTGACGTTTTGATTGGTGTTTTGTCAATAAACTAACTTAAGATGCATGGTGGTGAACGAAGAAAAAGGAGGGACGGTGGTTGTGTCACTTATTTTTTTACTTGTGTCTTTTTTAAATTGATTTCAATGTTTTAATCGG